TGGTTTATTAAGGAACAGTGAAATGTCCCAGCATGCCCATCCACTTTGTGCTTCCGAAGTATGGAATACGTAAAAACAAAATGGATGTGGGTGTTATCCTGGAGTAGGAAGGCATGGTGATTTTCTTCCTAATCACTTCATGAAAGGTAAATGCATTCTGATAACTTTTATATAGGCCTTGTATTGACCTAGTTTTTAATCTTGATTGACTGACCTGATCTCCTTCAGTGACAAGGTGACCCGCTTAGTGAATGAGGGAAGGGATTATCTTCTTTATATGAACTTCAGTAGAGCCTTTGGCACCATTTCCCACAGTATCCTGTAGAAACTGACTGCTTAGGGCTTGGACAAGTGCACTCTTTGCCGGTTAAAAAGCTCCCTGGATGGCCAAGTCTGGAGACTGGTGGGAAATAGAATTAAATCCAGCTGGCCGTTGGTCACAGGTGGTGTTCCCAAGGGCTCAGTATTTGGGCTGCTTCTATTTAATGTTTTTATCAACAACCTGTATCAGGGGATCAAGTGCTGCTTCAGTCAGCCTGCAGATGACACCAAAATGGTGGGGAGTGTTGATCTGGAGGGCAGGAAGGCTCTACAGTGTTATCTGGACAGGATGAATAGGTAGGCTGAGACCAGTTATATGAAACCGAACAAGGCCCAGTGCCATGTCCTGCCCTTGGGTCAAAACAACCCCATTGCAGTGCTATAGGTTAGGGGCAAAGTAGTTGGAAAATTTTCCAGCAGAAAATGACCTGAGGATGCTGGTTGACAGCAGCTGAACATGAGCTAGGAGTGTGCCCAGGTGGCCGAGAAGGCCAGTGGCACCTGGCCTGTGTCAGCAGTAGTGTGGCCAGCGGGACCAGGGCAGTGATTGTCCCCCTGTACTCATCACTGGTGAGGCCACACCACAAGTTCTGTGTTCAGTTCTGGGCCCATCGTGACAGGAAGGACATTGAGGCGGTGGAGCATGTCCAGAGAAGGGAAAGGAGCTGGTGAAAGGGTCTGGAGCACAAGTCCTGTTGAAGAGCAGCTGAGAGAGCTGAGGTTGTTTAGTCTGGAGAAAAGGAGCCTTGGGTGGACCCTCTCACTCTCCACCTGAGAGGAGGCTGAAGCTAGATGGGGGTCAGTCTCTTCTCCCAGGAAGCAAGTGATATAAGAAGAGAAAATGGCCTCAAGCTATGCCAGGTGAGGGTTAGACTGGATGTTCAGAAATATTTCTGTGCTGAAATAGTTGTCAGGCATCAAACCAGGCTGTCCAGGGCAGTGTTGGAACCCTGAAGGTGTTTAAAAGATGTGTAGATGTGGCACTAAAGGACGTGGTTTAGTGATGCGCTTGGCTGAATCTGTGCTTTATAGTGCCAGCAATTATAGTAAAATGAGTGAGTGCTACTGACAAACCAGCCAAGCTTGTCAACATGGACAGGCGTGTGTGTCTCTTAAGGGGGTGATGGGAGGAACTGACTGTTGGGGTGACCAAGTGAGTCTGGATGGCTGCCAGGGACACAGCAGGATCTGGAAGTCTCCATCATGAAAATGATGGTGAATGTGTTGGTTTAATGTATTTCTTTCTGTTTCAGAGCAGTTCTGGTTTTTTCTGTGCTCAGTTAATAAGATACGGCTAGCTGCTTTATTGAAGGTAGAGTACTGGTGCCATCTGGTGGTGTTAGGACATTCCCAGGAATGAGAAAAACCACTTGTGAGGAATTCTAAAAAAAGTACATGGATATATATTCTGCCTTAGCATGTAATTATTCTCTTGAATTAAGTCATAAAAATCTGCACATGTATTCATAACTAAGCTTGGTACAGCAAATTTAAATCTTCAATCTATTTCTTTCTGCTCAACAAAAAGGTTTGTTTCTATTAATTTCTTTTGTGAAACAACATAAAAGAGTTTTATTGGAGCTTACAATATTTTAGAACTCATTTTAAAATACAGAATATCTTCTGTTATGCCATTTTGCTAAACCCAGCCCAAACTTCTCACTGCTAATGTTTGAAGTCACTATGCTGTTTTATAAGTTGCTTATATTTATTTCAAAATAAAAGTTCAACAACATACATCTGACAACAGTTGAATTAAAAAACTTTGGTATCTGAAGCAAAAGCAACAGTACTGTTTTCTTTGTCTGCCCATCTGTTGAAATCATGTCCTGCATCTTAAGTTGCTTACCTGAGGTAATATCCTCATCCTTCTTCAGAGCACTCTGTACAGACTGTATTGACATTTCTAGCAATGGAAGTAGGACTGTGACTGCTTCTTCACTTCTCTTGAAGTAAATGTCTGACTGATAAGTATCTTGCCCTACAATGGAAAAACTCGTAAAAGAGAAAAATACTTTATTTTAAGCTGGTGAGGCTTTTTGATTAATTTCATTTAACTGTTACTCTTCATCTGTTGCAGGTCACCATATTATTTTTATAAGTTACTTTTAAATAAATATGGAACAGAGGTCTGTTTGTTCAGACTTCTTTCTATTCTGTTGCAGCTGATGAGAATAACAGACTATTTTTGTTTTAATCCAGGTAGTTGAAAAAGACAAATTCTGTCCTTATATTTCTTCATAATCTCTGACCTCATGACCTTACAACACTTTACTGGCATTGTGATGGAAGTGTAAGTTAGACTTAGTTCTGATAACTAATTGCATTAGTTCTCTCATTACATGATTGTGCTCACAATATCAGGAGGCATTTTTTAATTCTGTCTTTAGAGAATAAGGTATTTCCAGGCCTGTTCAGCTAGTATAGTTTTTGGAATTAGATAGAAGCAGCTATTAAAATTGAACATATATAATAGTAATTAAGAATTTAATGTTAATATTTTAATGGTCAAAATGTTAATTTATCAATATTTTTGGTCATCTTTGAGAATAACAAAACTGTTTGCCATAGCAAGGACACTTCTTTTTCTGCACTTTAATTCAGCTCCTTGAAAATCTAGGTTTGTCTGCTGAGTGAGATGCGTGATTTTCGTGATCTCACAAAAGTGCGGTGCTTATGCCCGATGTATGCCAACATAATCATGAGCATCAAATTTGGAATTTTTCTTTTCCACACTTAGTTTTGAATCTGAACAAAGTTCTATTATTGTAGTGCTTTGTTCTTAGAGCTGTGACTTTCACCTTAAGTACACTGTCCTTGTGAGTTGAGGTGTACCTGTTGCTTCCTGTACAGTTGTCATTCAACTTTTGGTGCTGTATGACTTTAGTACCTTTCAGCAAAATTATTCAGCTAAATTGTTATTATTTGCTACATGTAGTTGTTTTCCTCAGGGTTTCCCCACTGTGAGCATTATCCCTCTGTTTTTTAATGAATTAACATTATTGTGCTAAGTTTCAGTGAAAGAAAAATATGTATGCTTATTCTGTTAAAACAGAGCAAAGTTGTAGTGGTTTGTAAATCTGCCATTCTCTTCAGTTCTGAATTTATACCTGGTAAGAATAACTTCCTGTGTTGTACCATAAAGCTAGGTGGTACAAACTACAGTTACAGTTTGATAATATGCCAAGTTATTAATCACAATCACAGCACTTAAGAAATCCTTTAAAGAAAATATTAATACTCACTTCTAACTTATTACTAAATCAGTATAATGATCCACTTGCTCAGTCTCCAGCGTCCATCTAGATCTAAAAAGGAGCTGAATTTCCCTGTTGTTAGCTGTCATAGTGCATCACTATCACCCTATAACTAGAACTGGAAGAATATAGTGATGATTTAGGACCAATTTGGTTATTGTTTTTTTTCCTCACAAATTGAGTGCCACTTCCTTTTTCCACATGAACCAAAGTGCAACCTTGTCCTCTTCCAGCAGTAGTGAGGGAAGATTCATGACAATGCCTTTTGGAAGACTTGTACTTGAGTTCATGTTGTGATGTGCTTTTAGAGTTGTAATAAGCCTCTGAGCTGGTTTCTTTAGAAGCAGAGTGACTGCTCTGTTCTCCACATTTTGCTGGAAAAATAGATCTTTTAAATAACAAAGTCTTATGGAGTTTATTCTGCTGTGTGAGGGGCTATGTGTCCTCAATGGGGATCTTTTTTGTGGATTCCAACAAAAGAGTATCTCCTGCAACTCTGCACTGCTTTCAGTTAATAGTAATTTTTTATTTTGAATTCAATCAAAGAAGTTCACAGTGGAACTGCAAAGATATTTTTATTGGCATTTTTCTTAAGTTTTTTTCCAGTGCTATCATTAACAGCTAGTTTTGTCATTGTTTTCGTAATTCCCTTAGGAATATAACAGCAAAATCAGTAACTACAGTATACACCTTTGACTTTTTGGAGAAGGAAGATGGAACTAGTAGCACTCTTTATCTGTCACTGTGATAGCTGAATCTTCCCTGTGTGAATCAATAAGAAAGATTGCTTCTTCTGTCAAATTTACCTATTCATGTAAGATTGTATCACTTTTAGCCAAAGAATAAAGATCCTCTTTTTTATTATTTCTAAAAATATAATTTTATTCTGGTAAATAGCTAGAGATTCTGGAAATACTAGTTATTTCCCTGAAAGTATTTTGAAGATTAACATACAAAGAGCAGATTACTTGAAAACATAGCTTGAAAACTGAGAATGCTGCTCATCTAAATGTGCATCTTCAATTCAAAATGTTTTCTTTTCTTACAGACTTTCTAGTCCATAGGTTGTTGTTTAAGAAGTCTGCATATTTATTTGGTTATTTTTCCCTGTCATTTTTGAAGATAATGAATTTCTTTTTATTTTTCCATCACATGATAACAGGCCTTCTTAGGACTTCTTTTTTGAGCAATTTTCCTTGTCTAATAGGAGACGATATTAAATCTTATTTTCCTTGATTTTTCCTGAGGATCAATTTTTCCCCCCTTTTCTTGCTTACAAGTGCTTCTGCCCTACTGTTCTCTTAAATTAATAGAGATACCTAAATACTTAGGTAAATTTAGTGAGCAGAGTATTTCTTTGTGGCAGCTGTATTTTGAGGAATTTTGGATGTTAACTTTCAGACTATTTTTCTGTCTTTTCAGGTCTCTGGATGGCAGACTCTGAAAAGAAATGCTGTTTTAAGAGGTATGCCTCATGTAGGCCAAAATATTTTGGACTGGTTTCCTTATAAATGATAAGGCTGTACTTCTGAGGAGTCCCTCTGCTGATCCTCTCTGTAATCTTGCATTGATAATAGTTTCAATGCTGACATCTCTCTGAAATGTGAAAGCTTGTGCTGAGATATGCAGGCTTGTCTTATCAGTTTTAGTGGAGAGGCCTGTAATATGTTGCTTAACTTTTTGCTTGATCATCTTAAAGAGAACGCTGCCTTAGTGGACGAAGGGGATGGAGTACAAACAAAGCAAGTCGACTTTCTGAAATGTGCATGTCCCCTTTCAGCCTCTCATGACTTTGTGTGTATGTGGGTTTGTTTGGTTGGTTGTTTTTTTAATTGGGAATATAGTCCAGATTTTGTAAATGCCCTCACTCCCTTTTTGGTGTTTTGTAAACATCCAGACAGTGAGAGGCTGACACCATGCCAGGAGTGTGGTTTAAAATAATGTCAGTTGGATCAAAGATAAAGAAATACTAATCTTTTTTGCAAATTATCTTTTTTTCATGTTAGCTGAATGTTTGGAAAATTTTCTGTGTTTGTTTGGGGTTTCATGTTCCAGCACTGAAAGAAAGTGTCTCTTCTCTCTCCATTGTTGGTATGTTGTTTTTGAATAATTCATTGCTTGGCAGCTGTTAAGAAAACTGTGTATTCAAAATTGAAATTATTGTACCATGTCTTCCATCCATTTCAAGATGTGGTGGCATATGTTAGAAAAGTAGGCTTTGTCTTTGTAAGAGAAAGATCGGTGTGAGTATTTTCTTTTTTAAACTTTTTAAAACAGGATCTCTCAATTCTTTTTAAGCACTTCAGAGGGCTTCCTATTTCTCTAAAGCAGTGCAGTGCTGATTTGTTCTGCCTCCAAAACAATAACCAGGATGAAGTACTAACAACTTGGGTTAAGAGTGGCTCTTCAGCTATTGAGTAAGATTTTGGTGTTGCTCTTTTTCTATGCAGTGTTTACAAAACTCCTAAAGAAAGTGATGCTAAGAATTAGGGAAGATGTTATTGCTATTTTCTACACAACCTGTGGACAGAAATCAAGGTGAGGATACTGCACTATTCTTGGAGGTGCACACTTGTAGGGTGAGAGGCATTGTACTCAAGCTGCAATGCAGGAGGTTCCTATGAGACAGTAGGAGCATTTTCTGCCAGTGAGGGTCGTCGGGGACTGGAAAAGGTTGCCCAAAGAGGCTGTGGAATCTTAACTGTTGAACAATTTCTGAGTGAAACAGAAAGTAGTGGCCTGCTTTGAATGCAAGGTTGGATTAGAGAAGCCTGGAGAGGTTACTTCATTATATCCATAACATTATCCTATGTGACATGAAGGGACACTTTTTATGAATTGTACATTTCCTGTAAAAACAGTTGAGGCTCAGTTTGGTGTGTTGTGTGTCTTTTTTTAGGTGGGTTTTTGTTTATGTTTTGGGGGAGGAGGGGGTGTTTTTGTTTTTTTTTTTTTGGTTGGTGAGTTGAGTAGAGTTTTGTGATTATAGAACTGAGTAGTGACTTCTTACTATTCTGGCAACATGGTTTTGAGGGAGATGAACTTTTTTTAATCAAGTGTTATGGTTAAGTCAGTGGATTGAAAGTTTCAATGTTATCTACAGTTCTTAAAGTTTGAGATTGCTTGCTGTCATAGGTTACTATTTGAGCAGGTAAATCTCATAAGAACTAACAATTTAATTTAGAAGAACTAAAGAATTTCTGTTTTACAGAGATTTGCCTTTCTTGGCTTTGGCTTTCTAAAATCTAAATTAAGGTATGGTATTTTCTCTTGTCTGCTGACTGCTGTGGGGGTTTAGTGGGAGCCTGAGGTTCACAGTGTTAAAATGAGCCATTAGGTTTGGAAAATGATACTGTAAATGTTTGCAGTTTGGTCTGTCCTCTGAATTTACCTGTTTTTATATAGGATGGTACCTTTCTGTGAAACTTTTGCTTCTGAACTTGATTGTGATCCTGTGAAAGATTTGTAAGCTCTTGAGCATGTCTTTTACAGTGCATGATAGGTCACATTACAAAATAAGGCAAATGTAGATGGTCCCTTTTAGAGGCTTGCTACTCCTACTAAATCCTGCACAGTCTAGTGGGTCTCTGTGGGAAAAAAAAAGTGTCAATGGGCAGATACGTTATTGGTCAGATTTTTTTTTTAATATATATATATATATATATATATATTTAGGCAAGAAGGTATCAGTCTAGGTTGTGCTTTGGAAAAGTAAACTTCTACTATTGGTTCAAGCTGATGTGCATGACTTAATTGTCAACCTGATTCTGTGTGTTTTCTTTTTACAGCAGCTTTAGGTGTTTTAGATATTGAGCTCCTGCTAACTTCATTGAAGTAGTGTCTTCTGTGATTTTCTAACAGTCATCAGCAGCTTGAGATCAGTCAATGTAGTAAGTTCAGCTTGTTTAACACATCGATAGGCAGAGGTAGTAAATTCATAGGATCATATGATGATTCAGGTTAGAAAAAGATCATGTCCTGCATGTGAGGTGGTTACCTGTAATAGGTCCTGAGAGAATGGCATGACCTGTGTCAGGGAAGATTTAGGTTAGGTATTGGGGGAAGGTTCTTCCCTCAGAGGGTGGTTTGGCACTGGAACAGGCTCTCCAGCAAAGTGGTCACAGCACCAAGCCTGACAGAGTTCAAGAAGCATTCAGACGATACTCTCGGGCACATGAGAGATATTAGGGATGTCCTGTGCAGTTCAGGATTTGGACTTGACAATTCCATGGGTCTCTTCCAACTTAGGATATTCTCTATAATGCAGCTCCTCAACACAGAGTAAACTGAGGTCAGACCAAGTGGCTCAATGTGTTATCCAGATATCTGTCTGTGCTTTTAAGCTGCATGGTTTCTTGGGAATATGTATTTAAACTTGCTTGATTTTTGTTTTTAAGGTTAGATTACTTGTTTTGGAGGCATATGAATTCATTTTTAGCTTTCTTTTCAGCATTCAACTGTTTGAGAGATAGGAAGACCTCTTTCTGTGAAAAAGGTCATCTGGAATTCAGATTTGAAAAAATATGCCCTTTTCAAAGGGAAGTTGTTTAAGGGAGACCTGGATTTGTCTGGAAAATAGAAAAATAGCTTGTGTGATTCTTAGTCAAACTTGATGTCTAGGATGTTGTGTAGTCTTGCTGTTTGGTTCCAGTTTGTGTGAGATTACTGGCATAGATTTTGGTTGGATGATAACAACTTGGCTGTCTTATACAATAGAAGTGGTGATTAACTTTTGTTTGGCACTAGACTGTAGAAACATGGGCATCTTGGGGTGCCTTCCCAAGAACAAATGTGTGGTTTGAGTATTGCTAGTACCCCTTCTGAGCTAATAGTGTATTCCAAATAGGAAAGTGAAAGACCTGCTGTATTAGCTACCAATCCACATGGAGTGTTTCTTCTTAAGCATTGTGTATAGTAGCTTAGCTTTGTATTTCCTAGAATGACTGTGTCTCATCTTCAAATGCAATAATAATGAGAAAAAAAATAGTTGATTATGAAATCTGCAATTGTGTTATTTATTTCCCTCTGAAGTGATACAGAACAAGCAGGTGATAAATGTGAAATTACTTTACATAATATGGAATTACTTTATGTTTTTAATTAGTTGCTATGATTAGTGAATTTAATTTCTTATATGAGGTTGTAACATTGGTGTCTCTATTTTTCTTTATATGTGTCATTAGTTCTGCTAAATTTTTTTTCTATTTCCCTCTAGGAAGCAATTCAAGTTTTCTGCAAAGTCTGAGCATTTATGTTATCTGACTGAACTGACATCTTGGTAATATGCCATTTTTTGCAACCTCCTCTCTACCTTTCTAAATAGATATGAAGTGTTTGGCCTTTTTAAAATATGATTTTAATGAATTTAAAAAATTTTAATAAGTCCTCTTGTTGTAAGATGTTAACAGTTTTGAAAAGCAAGAGAGGCATTTTGAGTTATTTTTTTCCCCAAGACTGGAGGATGTGGGTCCCAATTGTAGAATATGCTGGCTTAAATAAAGTCTGACACTGATAGCTTGCTTACAGACCTTAAAAGTTGCATTGTTTATTGGAGATTAAAGGTGTGCTGAAGCAACCACGTCTGGATCTCTGCATGAGCAGAGGAGAGATCCTTCTCTTGTTTTGTAGCTGCAAGAAGGCAGCTACAGAAGGTCTTCTGGAGAAATCTCCTCCTGTAGGTTTTATCACCTTTTGAGGTGTCTACTGCCCTGGAAAGACCTCTTACCTTTCTGTTGCTTCTTCCAATAGTTTTTATTTTCAGTCCTTCAAACATCTAATGAGAGTGACTTTCTGTCTTCCTTCAAAGGTGTATGAAATTTTCATAAGGTTGATTTGATAGGCATGCTCTTGATATTCTAGAAGATGCTCATTTTTCCAGTACCAAAATGTGTATGATTTTTTTTCCTATTAAGTTGGAAAAGTGTGTATTATTCTTGATATCCTCATTTTTTTTCCCCCTAGCACAGTGGGCTTTATTGCTATCTTGTATTATTTTTGCCTTTGTTATATGGTTCAGTCACTGTTCTCATAATATTATACCCCATCTGAATTTTTTTTTGTTTGTTTGTTGATGATTCTTCTAGTGCCGGCATTTGTCTCTACTGTTGGGAGGAAAAACCGAATTTTTTTTTCTAGAAAATAAACTTCTTTGCTTCAGATTGCACTGTTAATTCTTTGGCTCTTCTTCCTTAGAAGTGCTTGGATTTCTGCCTGTAGTTGTCCTGAACACCTTCTGAATTCCTGCCTAGACAAGCAACTAGTTGTATTGATACTGCCTTTTTCAGGATCTGTTTAGGCTAATTTCCCTTTTGTCTGTCATGAATTGTGTTTTTTAGCGTGCCCACTTTCAAATTAACTGGTGACTTGATGCCATCCTTTGAGCTCTTCTTGAAGAGTGATGTTGAATAGCTCTTCCTCAGCATCACAGAAACTTACATACCTCATGTAGTAGCATTTAACTGATGAATTCAATGCACTAACTTGAAAGGATTTAATGTGCGTCAGGTTTTCAGAGGATTAAAAATAATTCTACAATTAGGAAAGTAATTCAGGTTTTGAGTAAATGTTTCTCACCTATTTTGTCTACTGCAAAACCAAGCTGCTCTTTTATTCTTCTTTAATGGGAGGTTACTAGATTTATAACTAAATCTCAAATACTATAAAATAATACTGATTTTTTTTCTCCCATTGTTTAATTCTTAACCATGAGAACTGGAAATCTTCCCAGTTTTTTTGTATAGGACAATGCAGATTTAAATGGGTGGGTGTTGGATATGTTTCTCCACAGTTTACAGTGGCACATTTGGTACTTCACTGCACTGGAATAGTTCAGATTGGTGTGGAAGTTTGCCATTTGACAGTTCTTTTTCCTTAGTGCCACTTCACTGAACATAGACAAAAAAATATGACAAAATTTAAGATCAGACAACCTTGTTCAGTGTGAAACTTGGGGAACATGTGTCTCCATTCAAATTCTGAAATGTTTTCCAAACTGAGCTAGATGAAAACCAATATTTGTGAGCCAGAGACAGTAAAATCACTTTAAGGGAAAACTTTGGTGAGTTCTGTAGTATGAGAACCAAATATAGTAGGTGGTAAGCAAGTATAGTCTGCTCTGTTAATTGAGTAGAATGCTGGTCAAGTTCTGGTAACAGTACAGTTTTCAAAATGTTTTGAAAAAAAATAATAACAGCTGTGTTTAAAATGTAAAGGCATGGGCTTTGTGTAGTGTTTTCTCTCTAAGCAGCTGGGGTTACTGCAAAAAAAGTTAAATGAGCTTTTTCATTTTTGATTTCTATTTTTTTTTTCCTTTTAAAGATGATTATGCCATCCTATGCTCAAAAGAAAGGTAAAATGTCTAGTTCAAGTTTCAGCACAACCAACTGCTCCTCTGCCAATGAAATTATTTTAATCTATAATATAGTCTTCAGTTTACTTCTGTTTAAATAAAAGGGATTTCAGAAGGTTTACTTTCCAGCCCGATTGTTGAGAGACAGATTCAAAATTATGCTTTAACATAGTGACACAAGGCAAACACTTAAAAGTGTGGTTAAACTGAACAGTTGCTTTGACTTTTGAATTGTCAAAATACTTTTGAATCTGAAATTACTTTGAGGATTTTCTTCCTCCATATTTTGTGAGTTTTCCATCATTACTAGATTGAATATGATGACTCAAGTTACCAGGATAGTAGGTTTCACCTTAAATCTGAGTCTTTTGGTTGGTAAAGGAACTTACTAGTAGCATACTGGAAGGGCCATTTTCTATGCTCTTGCAGTACTGACTTGCAAAATAGTGTGGAGTTTACATTGTTTAGTTTCTGTGAAGTGACATAAAAGTTACTGCCACCACTGTGCCCACACATCCATGTACATTGTACAAAAGTCTGAAGCTGGGTTAACACAAGTTAATAATTTATTCCCAAATGACTACAGCTGTGTTATTTTATGATGCGTCTCTTCCACAGACACCAAAGATGCTAACAAGGAAGATTAAGCTTTGGGACATTAATGCCCATATAACCTGTCGTCTGTGCAATGGATACCTGATTGATGCTACTACTGTAACAGAATGCTTGCATACCTGTAAGTAGAAGTATAATTAAGTTAAACTTGCTGACTTTGTTTCTGTTTGTCTCTGGCTTTTTTTTTTTTTTTTTTAAACTTGATATGCAAGTTTAAAATATATTGTAATGGTTTTCAGTAGAAATTTCAAATTCTGCATCAGCCAAAGAGCATGTGCTTTACTAGACTACTTTTCTTTAACAGATGATTTGCTTTTTTTAACAAAGCAAATGGAGGGAACATTAAAGCTGTGCTGCATAAACTTGAAGCCATATACAATTAGTGGCAATGTAAATATTCAAGAATGCAGTGTGCCTTCTTGCTAAAGGAATGTGGAATACCTAGTTCTCTCTTCTGTGACAGCTGATGTAGCATATGTTCTCTGCCTGGAGCCTTTCAGATGTCTCTTTCTCTCCCATTCCTCTGCAGAAAACAGAGTAGTTTATCAATAAAGAATAAGTATGTTGTATTGTATCCTAGAAATAAGCTTGTATTCCAAAACACTGTGAAAAAGTAGTTGTTTGTTGATAAGTTACTCTGTGAATTTCTATTTTCATGTAAGCGAAGGATGACTTAAAACCTTGCAACCCATCCTCTGTTTTAAAATTGTTCTTTCACAATATTTATGTTTATTCTGATAAAGCTAGTAGGTTGTTTAATTAGCCTAATGACTTAGTCCTAAATTTTCTTGGAAGGCAGTTATTTGGTGACTGTGTCTTTATCATAAAACAAAAAGTGTCGGCAGACTTCACCTTTTATATCTGACAAAGGGAAAGGCAATGTTCATGATTTGTCAGTTCATTATGTTTTTTATTATATTCCATTTAGAAGCTCCGTTTATCAGCCTTGATGAATTTGTTGCATTTGTCACACTTCATGTCATTCTGAATATCCTCATAGAATCTAGGACAGTAGAAGGGTTTGTTCTATGATTCCAAGAATCAGAGAATGGTTCTAGAATCTATATTCAATGACCTGGCCATGGGCAGGGTCAGCATCAGGTTGCTCAATGCCCTATCTAACCCGGCCTTGAATGCTTCCAGTGATGGTATGTCCACAGCTTCTTTGGACAACCTGTGCCACTTACCCTCACAATAAATAATTTCTTTCTAATATCTAATCTGAACCTATCTTCCTTCAGTTTGAAGCCATTCCCCCTTGTCCTGTCAGTACATGCCCCTGTACAAAGTTCATCTCTGTCTTTCTTGTAGTGCCCTTAAACTTTTGGAAGACTGCTTTAAGTTCTCTCCAGAGCCTTCTTGCTTCCTGTCTCAATTTCCATAGTATTGTTTTCAGAGCTAGACTTCTACTTAGTTTTGCCCAAGTTTCTTTACTGTTGCTAGTTAGAAGACTGTGTCCAAAATGAGTATCATAACAAGTTAACATGGCTGACAGAGAGCTAGAGAGAAGTAATTTTTTATTGTTCTTTAAAAATAAAGCAAAATTTCACAAATGCGCCTCAGCTGATATCATCTGCACCATCTCTTATATTGCTTATGGAGGAAATGCATAGATCCATAGTTCTACAGTGCTTGCTGCAAAAGTCAGGAAATGCACCTTACTACCTTTTCCTGCTGCTTTTTCTGGGGTTTTCTTTGGCTTGTTTCTCCCTTATTTTGACAGTTTATATTTTATGAATACTACTTCACTCTGTGCCCTGTAGAATTAGGTTTTTGAGAAGAGGCACAGAGTCCTGTCTTTTTAACAAAACTTCACACATGTTGGCATTGTTTGTAATGTGTAAGATAATGCTAATAATGTATGTTCTTGGAGAAGCATCCTTGCAAAATGCATAATGAATTTACCCTCTCTGTTGAGATAGTGAATTCTCTTCTAAATTATACCAACTTGAAATTTTCATTCTCTTCTACTCAGAACTGCACATTTTTCCCTTTTCAATTTTTCTCTAATTTACTGATCTTTAGCCATTCAAAGATTCTTCACTAGTAAATGAAGTTCTTGAGTCCTTTAGTGAAAGTAATTTGGAGGACCAAGACCAGTCCTCTGGAGGAACAGAGTGAATTTTTGTAAAACTGAATTTAGGAGAAAACAATTTTTCTCCTGCTTATTTCTCTGCTGTGGTTTTAGTTTGTTGGTGACAGGTAGGCCACTGAATCAGTTGCTAAAACTTCATTAGTAGTAACTAAAAAAAAAGTCAAGTCTTTTTTTGGTTTGTATCTGTTCCTTGATTAAACTTCTAGGCTAGATGATGTATGCGGGTCTTGTTAAACTTTGTGTTTATAATGTCAGTATTTTAGTGTTTACATATGAAAACTGTCCTATGTTATGAAAGGGAAAATCTCACATTATGAAACATACCATCTTCTGAGTGCATCGGGATGATAAAAGGTCAGCTTGAACTAGATACAGAAATGAAAAAAGTCAAGAGAAGTGAAACTGTTAAAATAAAAAAGTGAGCATTAGCCTTGCCTGTTCCTGTTCTGATTAAACCTCTCTGATGTGTTTAAGAAATCAGAAAATGTACAGCTAAGTTCATGTCCACAATCAGTGCCTGTATGTCTGGGTGAACAGAGATCAGAGATACTGGAAAACCAAAGTAATGGAAAATTCTAGAAATAATATTGTTTCAGACAGTAGAATGATTTCCATGTTGCATGTCCATTATTCCAAAGACTTCTAGTTTCAGGAGAGTTTATAATCTCAACCTGACCCCAGAAAAAAAGAACCTAGATGGCTGCAGCACCCTTCATAAGCCATCTAGTGGCATTTATTTGGATGCTGTGCTCAGACTGAAACCTGCCAGAACATTAGCTAACTTGTGACCAGTTCATTTTAGGAGGAGCTAGTGTTTACCAAGCTGGAAGATGTACTAAAATGGGATGATGTTTTAGATATCAGAGATTACTTTGGGTTGGAAGGTAACTATTAAAATCACATAATACATGACCACTGCAATGGGCAGGGGCATCTTCAGCAGCATCAAGATGCTTAGAGTTCTTGGTGAAGCTGTGCTGACTGTCTGGAGTTATCTCAATGTCCTCCACATGCCTCTAGCACAGCTTCTAGTAGTCCATGATCTTCCCAGGCACAGAGTTAAGGCAGACATGTTGTTGATTTCCAGGTCTCATCCTTTCTACCACTTCCTGAAAGTGGAAGCAGTGTTTCCCTTTTTTCTAGTCACAGGAGATTTCACCTGACTGTCAGGACTATCGCTGTTAGTGGCTTGTCAGCTACATCAGCCAGTTTGAGAACCCTGGGACACATCTCATCAGGTCCCAGAGAGACTTACGTGTATTCACATTGCCAGGTGCTCATAAATCTGATCTTTTCACACAGTAGAAGGGATTTTACACCCCCAGTGGCTTTGCGGTTCATCTGTGCGAGAGCTGTGGGAGGAGAAATTGCTAGAGAAGGCTGAGGCAGAAAAATTGAATACCTCAGGTATCTTCTTGTCCATTGCTACTGGTTTTCCAGTCAGGTTTATCTGGGGGTTGCACATTGTTTGGCCTTCTTTTTGTGACATACTTAAAGAAACCCTTTATAATGCTTCATATCCCTTGCCAAGTTCAGCTTCAGCTGTGATTTGACCTTTCTGACACTTCCCTGCCCAAGTTAGCAACATCCCTATACTCTTTCCAGGATACCTGTCCCTGCTTTCTCTGTCAGATTCTTTCATTGGCTTGGTAGGAATGGAGTTTGTCTTCACTTTTGCAAATGGATCTACTGTTCTGGCACTCTGCTGGAACAAGCTGCTGTGCAAGATGAGGCTTTGTCTTACCTCTGCCACCAACAGTGCTGTCATCCTAGGTGTGTAAATGCAAAACACAGTGCAAAGTTATAGCACTTCATTTACTGTTACTTTTTTTTTTAGTCAGCGGGTGTTTATGTAATTGTACTGTCTTCTTGTTTGAGAGGTAGATGGCACTAGAGTTACAGAAATCCTTTTTTTTTTTTTTTTTTGTGGTAAGTGCATTAATACCAAGACTACATGAACTAGTGCACTTCAAGAAAACCTCCCTTCTTTTCTCCATACCTTCTCAGCTGTAACTTCAAGTGAGTGAGGATATCATGCAGTAGTGTATTTTATGAGTACTGTTTTGGGGCACTTTTGAGAGGAGAGTGGTGTATAGTTTACTTTGAAAGTTTACTTGTTCTGTATGTGCCATGGTTAAAGCAAATATGTTTTGTTTAGTATCTTAATGGCAAATCGTTCCTGTAATGTCATCCATGCAAGCTGAATGTTGACCTGCTAGAAATTGTTCTAGTAAATTTTGAAGTGAGATTTTGTGTTGTGTACTGTGTTAAGGTTTTTTGTAGGTGTGGTGCTTTAATTCTAGTGCATCCTTTCCCTATATCAGGAAAATTTATGAAAGGTACTGGAAACTGTATTCTGCAAGATAGGACATCATGCACTTACGATGTAGAAAAATGAACTTCATGTAAATTTCAGTAATGTGCATTCTGTGACTGTATAAAAGCAGACTTCTGTTATGCTACTTTTATTCCTTTTTAATTGTGAATGTCTTTTTTATTAGTCTGTAGAAGTTGCCTAGTGAAATATTTGGAGGAAAACAACACCTGTCCAACATGTAGGATTGTTATACATCAGAGCCACCCATTACAGTATATTGGGTAAGTATAAAAGCAGAAGTGCAGGTAACTTCACTCTAGACTGGTTCATCCCCTTTGATACACTACGGCTTCTCTCAAAATTTTCATTCATGCTTATCAGCATGTTAAACATTGAAAAAGAGGTATGAAGGAGATTGAGGAGGAGATACAGCATGAAACTTCTGCTATGAGTTTGCAAGGCCTTAGCATGGCAGCTTCTTCCAGACTTAAAACAAGTAAACTATACACTCAAATGTTTAATTTCTGCATGATTTTTAATGGGATATAGTAATTCCTCATTTTGTATGCTTGGGTTGTAAAAATTATATATATGAAACATTTGTAGGAATTACACTTTTACAAAATTATCAAAAATTAGTCTCAGTTGAACAGTGCTTTTCAGTGTCTGACAGTAATAAGAGAAATAATTTTCAGCTTTGTTGTTCAGTTAATCTTTCAAAGGTCTGCTTAGGTCGTAGGAGCAGATAAGAATGTCATAGAATCATCACAAAATGGTTTGGGTTGGAAGGGACCTTTGAAATCATCTAGTTCCAACTGCCCTGCCATGGGCAGGGGCACCTTTTACCTAGACCTGGTTTCTCAAAGTTTCATGAAGCCTGGACTGAACCTTGCCCCCCCATCTTTCTGGGGATGGGGTATGCACAATGTCTCTAGGCAGCCTCTTCCAGCCTTGGCACTCTCACTGAAGAATTTCTACCTATTAGCTAACCTATATTTGTTATCTTTTAGTTTAAAACTATTCCCCCTTGTTCTATGACTACATGCTTGTGTAAAAAGTCTATTTCCAGCCTTCTTTTCGGTTCTCTGCATGTACTGGAAGGCTGCTCTGAGGTTTCCCTGTAGTCTTCCTTCTCCAGGCTCTACAGCTCCAACTCTATCAGCTTGTCTTCACAGGAGAGGAAGTCCATCCCTCTCGTCATGTTCATGGCTCTCCTCTGGACTCACTCCAGCAGGTCCACATCCTTCTTATTTGGGGGCCCCAGCGCTGAAAGCAGTGGTCTAGGTGGGGGCTTTTGCAGGCAGAGTAGAAGGACAGAATCACCTGCTTCGATCTGCTGCTGAGTTTCTTTTGATGCAGCCCAGGTTGCAGTTTGCTTTCTGGACTGCAAGTGCACATTGCCAGGTCATGCTGATGTTTCCATTTGCTAATATCCCCAAGGCCTTCCCCTCAGAGCTGCTCTCAATCACTTTTCTGCCCAGCCTACATTTGTGCTTGGGATTACCCCAGTCCAGGTGCAGGACCTTGTACATGGCCTTGTTGAACTTTGAGCATCACATGGACCCACCTCCTTCCAGCATTCCTTCCTTCCAGCTTGTCCACTGCCCCACACATCTTGGTGTTGCTGGCAGATTTAATGAGGGTGCCCTCAATCCCACTGTTGTTGACAAAGATGTTAAACAGCATTGATCCCAGTACTGACCCCTGTGTGACCTTGTGACTGGTCTCATCTTGGATATTAACTGTTGATCACTTTTGAGTGCAATCATCCAGCCAATTCCTTATCCACGAAGTGCTGCATTAGTCAAATCCCTGTCTCTCCAGTTAGGGACAAGGGTGTTGTGCAGGACAGCATCAAATGTTTTGCATGAGTCCAGGTAGATGCCATGACTCACCCTTTCCTCATCCACTGTAACCACTGTCTCTGTAACCTCATCAGAGAAGACCACCAAATCTGTCAGACGTGGTTTGCTCATAGTGAAAGCCATGTTGGCTGTTGCCAGTCTCCTCCTTATTTTCCAGCTGCATTTGCATAGTCAAATTGCATGTTCACTAAGTATTTTTGTTGTGTTTTCCTCTTTTTCTTGCCAGAAAAGACATTCTCTTTCTTTTCCTCCTGCTGATGAAAATACGTTGTAATAATGTGTCTGCATTAGCTGTTGCATATCAAGTAGTGTTTTGTCTTCTATTATGAAGAGCTTGTGTTTGTTCATAGCATTTTTCAATGTGCCTTTCTCACTTCTGCAACAATTTCTGAAGCAATGGTTTTAGCAAATGAGTCTGATTGCACTTTTACAGAAAACTGTCCATGTTCTATACACACTTGCATTGCTCAAGCTCATCCTCATTCAGGAGCCTGAAACTAAGTATGCTGTCTCCACATTCATATAATACACTCATACTCCTGTGTGAGTGTATAATTAAAGGGACAAGTACATGCAAATAGGCAAGAATGAATAAATGACATGTAAGACATGTTTACCTTGGTTCAAAGACCTGGGTCTTTTGCTAAAAGGGCCAGGAAACAACATGATATTGAGAGCAGCTAGAAGGCAATTTTTTATTTGTTTTTTATTGTTGAATACACTTCAACTTAAGTAAGCTGCTTAAACTAGTTTTGAACTATTGCCCCATTGAAACTGAAACAGACTTTGTGCAGCCTACTTTTGGATATATTTATTTACCTTTTTAAAAAAATAATTGACAGTCCGGAGTTTCACAAGGTGTTTGAAAATGGAGATTTAAACTCCTATTTATCTCTGTCTGTCTGAAAAATAGGTAAACCAAATGTATCTCTTTGTTTACATTTCTAAATACTGTTAAATAGCATCATAGAATCTTAAATTCTTTGGGACCTTAAAGATCATCTGTATGATCTAGTTCCAACCCCCAAATTGTCACCTCTGATTTAATGGTGATGTCTTACATATTTTTGTTCAAGTAATTTTGGCAATGTGTTTGCAGTCCATAAATGACACTTCATAATCTCAGCCTGTACAAATGGGATTGCTGCTGGTGAAAATTACATGAATTTAGGATAAGTGATATTCTGAATCTTGTAGTGCTACTTAGAATATTGTAATTACTGTTTGTAAATGTCTTGGTTTGTCACCATTTCTGTACTTGCTTACTGATCTCTACTGCTGTGAAATGCTCATGTCAGGTGATGAGAAGCCTGAGACTACTTTTGTAAGCCTTTTCTGTTCAATTCAGGACTTGATACTGCAGACACTTTTGAGGTAATGGCATTGCAGCAGTCAAGGCAGACACTTGAAATGCTTCTTATACTATTTCTTAATAGGAATTTAATATAATATTTAATTTCTTTGAGAACATAACTTATTTTAGATTAGAACTGGATTTTTCTAGGTGAGCTGGGATTAAAGTTTAGAATCTTAACTGGCCCTACTGTTCTGCTTGCAGTGGGATTATTACCTTTTTTTCATTTGAGCCATACTACCACTACAGGCTACTTAGCTACATAATGTTTCTCACAGTTACTTTGTCCTTTTAAGAATAAAGTAAAATTTAGTTTGTTGTGGTCTTTTTTCTGTGAACTCATGCATTTTAGAAGAATCCTAGTAAACACAACTAATCTAGAAATGTGAGAAATTAGTCTATAGGAGTGAGAAACAAGCTGTTATTGATTCTGTTGTAATAAAAATGAGTTTACCTCTAAGTTGGAAAAGAATTTGAGATTACTGACATACTTGTCTTGGTGCAGAAAGACATACTCAGTGGGGTGAATTCTTCTACAGCCTAGTCTTTCTCAAACTTTCATTTGTTTTCTGTCTTGGCTTGTACTTTTTCATAATTTCTTTTGTGTTGCTGTTCTTTCTGGTTTGATAGAAATACTGATTGAGAAGTAAAATTCTTCTTAGGTGAATTTTGAGATTTTTGCATATGGTTAGTACTGGAACTTTTTAGAGAGAAATGTTTTCAATCAAGATCATGAACTTAAGTTTTTGTTTTTGTTTTTTTTGTTGTTTTTTTCCTTGCTAGTCATGACAGAACAATGCAAGATATTGTTTACAAACTTGTGCCAGGCCTCCAAGAAGGTAAGTTGTGGTGTGACCTTTTTAAAGGTCAGTTTGTACTTCTTTGACATTAAAAGAAAAAAGAAAGTTTCAAGTGATGAAAAAAGGGGTGGGAGAAAAAATACAGAAAACTAGACTCTTTCACTTGTATAATTTTTAGCAATTAATTTAATTTCATACCTGTACTAGCAGCAACTGAGTGTGGGGGTGGTGGGAGACAACATGGGATGTTTCTTCCAAAAGCAGTATTATGTAAAGCAAAATAGTCATTCAGCTTTTGAATGTTGCCATACCATGACTCTAATTTGTTTTTGTTAAACTGAATACCTGTTATGCAAGCTTTCTAGAATTCTCAGAGGTAAAATACAATTTTAAAATGCTTTTAGTTTCTGCTGTTTTGAGAGTTCTTTTTTATTAGAGAACTTTCAATTACTCTTTTCATAATCCTCTTTGACATGAGATCTGTTAAACTAAAGTAAGACTTTATAAATATTGCTCAGTGGTTTTTTTTGGTCTTAATGTATGTTGAAGCTTTCATTTAAATAGAGTATTTTACTCTGTTGAAGCTTCTTTTTAACCAGCGCATTTTCAAATATCAATGTGATTAAATAGATACTTTAAAAATTATTTCTGGGATATTGAAAATCAGAACTATGAATAAAAATTCAAAACCAATGTTTTGACTGAAATACGGTCATATTCAAAATGGGGGATATTCAAAATTAGCTATTAGTATTTAAAATTCCATCTCATTCTAGCAGTAATAGTATAGTAGTAATTATACAGATAACTTTATGCTTTTGTAATTCTGAAAAATAAGATTAGGCATAACTTGATGTGATAGGAGAGATAGAAGATAGTAAATAATGACACCACCGCCGCTTGTTGGTAATCCTTAAGTGGGAAGGGATTTGGAATAACTTCATAAATATTGCATTAGAACTTTATTACAGGGATTAATATTTGCAATTTTAAACAGCGGAAATGAAAAAGCAAAGGGAGTTTTATCACAAACTGGGCATGGAAGTTCCAGGGGACATCAAAGGGGAGACATGTTCTACAAAACAGCACCTAGATTCTCATCGAAATGGTAAATAGTCCTTTATTTATTCTGTCTTTGGTGGGTGACGTATAGTAAATTGATAGACAGATCTGTTGGAAGTATGTGCCCAGTGGGTATATTACAGTCATAATTGTTTCCTAACAGCAAGGAATAGAATCAGCCTAGGATTGTTGCCTTGTCCCTTATTTGTGCACAGAATTCTTGGTTTTAGCTGTTAATAGCATGTTGCTTGTGGCAAAGTTGTCTCCATAGTAGTGCCTACATGGGGACTGTGAAGTTACCCAGCTTCTGTGCTGCTAGCAGTTTAACTCCATAGGTGTTCTCCTCTTTCATGTCACGGGCTGTTGGCTGCAAGTGTTGCTTGAGCCGATAAGCACAATTTGGGAATAGCAAAGCTTATTCTATACTGCGGTCCTGAAACGTGCTGTTTTAATTGTATTAGCACTATAAGCTAATAATGCTGTTGAGTATATCTGGGATTTATATATGAAAATAATATATATGTATCCCATATATCTTTTTTTTTTTTTTAATCTAAGGTGAAACTAAAGCAGATGAAAATATAAATAAAGAAACTTCGGAGGAAAAACAGGAAGAAGATAATGACTACCACCGAAGTGATGAACAGGTGGGATCATAGGGCATGCTCTAGTTTTATCTTGTGTTTTAGCTGTTGTGTTTTTGTAAAGTAACTTTGATAATCTAACAGAGAAGAAAATAAGCTTCTTTCAAGCTACTTTTTCTGTTCTCTGATACAAACACGACGCAGTTTGGGCAATGCTTTTTTGTAAGCATGAGGTTTTACCTTTGGGTTTTGGCAGGAGAATACATTCAAATCTTCATGCAAATGTCTTTATAGTTCTGTTTATGAGTCTTCAAAGTTTGGTGTCAAAACAAATTTGTGTAATTTTCTACCTTCTACAGGAATGTGCCCCAGTGTTACCATGATACATTAAACTGAATGTGTATTGATAATTATGAATTAACCCTCTGGCACTGTTAACACATTCAGTGCAGTTATCTGGGTGCAGTTGCAATGAGAGCTGCAGGCTGAGCTCTGGATGGGAGCCCGAGGCAAGAGGCCATGAACTGCCAACCCTTGGCACAGGAAGGGGCACAGGGACCTGTGGCATCAGCCTGGGCACTGGACACTGAGACACAGCAGGAGCTGAGACCCCCAGACTTTGGTGCTGCTAGGGTATGAAAGCCCAGGGGTTCCTTTGTTCAGGGCCCCTTCTCAGAGGACTTGGATGTCTGAGACTCTGCTATGGGAAACCTGGGGTTGAGTTGGTAAGGAATCCTGGTCTGAATGTGAGTGTGAGGGGTGTAGCTGTGAAGTGGCTTCAGTCCCAGTTTAGGTGGTGCAAATGTGACTGCCAGAGTGGCTCCTGCATGGTCAGACAGGGAAGCTTCCTTGACAGCACTCTTACTAACTTAATACGTATTTTGTTTTCAACCTTTAATACTAAGTCAGTGTTAGCCGTGTATCATAAAAATATCATAAAAGCAGGGAAGCCCACTGTTAAGTTTCAAACACAAAGCTTGTTTGAAGGTGAAAATTCCCTTTGGTATAAACAAGCCATGCCTTTTAAGTTTTCTGGTTATGCGTGTCCAGAGTAACTTTAGATTGGGTTAATTTTCTTCTCAGTTGCCATGTAAGGGAACTTTCAAAGGGATTATACTTGTTACTAGATCCTCCTAGTGCAATACAAGTGCATACCATCACAAAGAATTTAGACTGTAATGAATAGCTGGAATGGAAAAAAAGTGAGCATTTGAAATATTTGTCATAGCATTTGTATTCATTCTTTCTAAACATGTTACAATTAAACTAGATTAACAGTTGCATTGGCAATTAGAAATTATGTTAGAAGCAATCATTAAGAATTGACAATGGTTTTCTTACTGCTTTCTTGCTCTAGCTTTTATCATGTGGTCCTCTTAAGCTATTGACCGCCTATGAATTTGGACTGAAGTAGCCTCCTTGTTCCAACATCAAAAATTACTACTTGAAGATTTTTGTCTTATTACTTACCACTCAACTTATGAAATCTTAGAACATGTGGTTTTCTTAATAGGTTTTTCAGTTTAAAGAACGCTAGTGCTGTACTTCACTGTATTGGATTAATAAAAACTGCATGTGGAATACATAGGGGACTGCAGAAAATTGTTGCAGCCAACTCCTGATTTTTTGCCTTTTCCTGAAGGTAAGCATCTGCTTGGAGTGCAATAGCAGCAAACTGCGTGGATTGAAACGAAAATGGATTCGTTGTTCTGCACAAGCAACAGTCTTGCATCTAAAGAAGTTTATTGCCAAAAAACTCAACCTTTCTTCTTTTAATGAGGTAATATTTTAATTTTTAAAAATAAGTTTACAGATACAAAAACTTGAAAGGGGTGGGTTTGTTCCTTTGCAAAAGGATGTCTTTTATTCTGATTTTATTTTCAGAAAACAGAAGCATACACTGCTTCTTGAATTATATGTTATATAGCAATTTTCTTGTCCTTTCTTGGGTCTGTACAGGACTTTCCACTTAGTTTGCACTGCATTTTTTAATGTGCATTTACAAATAGTTGAACAAAAAGGCTTGGTTATGTGCTTCCACGTGTGTTGAAATGGACTCTGGCAAGATGATTTGTTTGATAGATTGTAGTTGAGTTCATCTCCAGCATTTTAGGAAGTTTGCACTCTGCAGCGGCCAGACAGAAACCAGCACTTCAACACTGAAGCCCAGTTGAAAAGAAAGCAGCACAAATACATTATCCTTTTCTGTGTCTTAGTGAAGCTCAGTCTGAAGCTGCTGCCTACCACAGCCAGAGTGTTATCAGATGTCTACTTTTACGTGTCTTTGCAGGGTATCATGGGAAGAATTTAAGTTGAAAGGTACAGAAGGAAAGGCAATACTTTGAATTTCTCCTAGACCAGATTCAAAAATGGAAAGTGGCAAACTATGAATGCAGCCCCTGTTTATCACTTGGCTGGATCTTGGTTACAGTTTCTGGGCATCTCTCTTGATTCCCAGCTTGACATCTCTCAATTCCATATTATGACACTGATTCACTGAATTTCATTAAGACATTTCATACAAATCAAATCATCTGCTTTCCAGTCCAGTGTGTCAACACCTTGCTGCTCAAACTTGTCAACAGCCAATTTGCATCTCTTATCACTTTTCCTTCATAGCTCCTGTACAATTCAAACACTCTCTCCCTCTTAGGGTTCAAGTATATCCCCAGACTCTGCCAGTTTTCCTAAAACAAAACTATGTATCCCATCTTGTTCTCAGCTGGCTCAGAGGTGGTTGACTCCTGGATTTAGCCCAGCAGCTTCATAGCTACAAGGATTGTTCAAAAGGGTTTATTTTTAATATGTTCTTTTGGTATATGCATGTGTAAGCCCTCCAGTCCAGTGTGCTAAGATGTAACTTAAAAATCTACTTGGTTTCTACTGAAGGAAAAACTTTTCTGGAGTATTGTTTATTTCCTTGTTATCCCTTTCTGCCTTCTTAAAAATTACATAAATGATCGTGTAATCGTTGTACCAGTACCAAGTAACATAGAAGGAGAATTTGAGCATGTGGTTACTTGGTTGCTTGATACAGACTATTTGAGGTTTGAGTTACTGCCATGTAAGTGGACTGTATGTACATACAGGCCTTTTTGGGCTGTGGGGTAAAAACATTGTAAGATAAGCCACCTTCGTGGGGCTTGCTGTTTTCATACATGTTCCCTGGTTTTAGTTCATTTTAAGATATTGTAGTTCAGCTGATTTAGTAGTCATATGATCCTCATGCTTGTATGTTGAGATCCTCCCTGTTTCTAATATCAAGGTTTTTTGAAACAGTGATAGAAAACAAAAAATACCTGTTGAGTATCTGTAAAATTCCTGTAAATGTCACATATAAGTATATGGCAGATGGTGTTTTTTGAAAAAACTGCTGCCCTTGTAACAATGCCACCTGACTGGTGTTAGGAAAAAAAAAACCATAGTATGCTCAGTAACAGCTCTCTTTGAGATTTCTGTCCCATTGTTCATGTATTCAACCTTTTAAAAGCATGTAAAGCATTCAGGAAAGGACCTTAGTGCTGCTTGGGAAGATAAATCAAACATTAAATTCTTATCATACTATATTTCTTAGGCAGGTGTTGACATGGTCTTTCAGTACTTTATGTTGAGAGCAGGTATTATCTTTTCTTTCCTGGTATGATTTTTGTCTGCAGGGCAACTTCAGGATTACGAGTACCAGTGTCTTCAGAGAAAAAAAAGTCTTGTATTATGTGAAATGTGTTATGTGAAATATGTTGTTTGGTGCATTGGGTCCCAATGAATTAACTGTCACCTTTATTTTGTCAGCTGGACATATTATGCAATGAAGAGATTCTTGGCAAGGACCATACGCTCAAGTTTGTAGTTGTTACTAGATGGAGATTTAAGGTACGACACAATGATTCAATGTAAATAATGAAGTGGCCAAATAAAATGTTTATAAAATAGTGATAATTTGGAATATACTGTGGTTTACCTTTATGGAAGGTACTTTTATAAGTATCTACTACAATATCCTTAGACACCAAGTATTTATTTGTTTCCAGTAAATTAAGGAAAAGAGAATTAAGTATTCATAGCAAGAAAAAAGGGAACACTGTATTAGTTGTCAAATTGTTATCAAGTCTGTCAGAGGAAGCAGAAGTTACAAAAAGTATTACTTTTAACCCCTTCAGGCAGTAAGAATGAATAGCAAAACTGAACACTTGGGAGGGAAGTCAACACTGAACATAGTCAGTATATGTATACATGGAGTTATTGGAACAAGTTCGTATTTGTAATGCAAAAGCAACACATTCTGAGCATACCATGTACACTGAGGTGAAATCACTCGGTGGCTCTGGATGCATATCTAGAAGAGGTCCGTGTGGAAGTAGAGGAGCATTTTTCTGTCTTGGAATTAAAAAATAATTGACCTGTGTAAGAGTCACAGGATAAAATCAGTGGTCAGTGTTAAAAATGCAGAGATGTCACAAGTGGAATCCTGCTGAAATCTATTTCATATGGTGTTTCTGAATGACATGGAAATGGATTTGAGTAGTTCATTACCAGTGCAGTGACATCACTGTCATTAATTAGGTTAGTGACAGATTGATGATAAAATATTGGATGAAGTCTTTACAGTTCTGAGTGACAGGTGATTAATAAACATCTGAAGCTGAATGTAGGTATAGATAAAAGGATACAATGCAAATGTTAGGGTTTTGTGGTGTAGTTGAGTGAACCAGACATGAGCATCAAATTGATGTACATCTGTTCAGTCCACTCTTCACCCGTGAGAGATCTGTGTAATTGTGAGTCATGTAGAAAGCAGAACTGTAAACTGCCCTCCCAAGTGAAATAAATGGTGGGTGTAAAATGGAACTGAGATGCAGAAGGTCCAGAACAAACAAGCTGAAGTAACTGTTTTTATGAGACACAGAAGTCCATGGTGCAGGATGTTGTGGTGTGGATGTTTGCCTATTTGTAAAAAAATCAACAGATGCTTTCACAGAGGAGGAATCAAGTGAGAGCTGTTATTAGAGTATGTGAAGTACCACATACTCTAATGCTGCTTTCTAGACATCCCTTACTTCAGGGAGTTTTCCAAGATAAACAGATCTGCTCCTGAGATAAAGTGGAAAGGATTCTTTACCACTTGTTTGAGCCCCACAGATGAAGTTGCACCTTGTCTTTGTCTTGGTGAATTTTTGACAGATCAGATAGCTGCTCTTGTATTTAAATGAAGCTTTAATTTATGACGCAGAAATTTTTCCTTCTTAGCAGGTTAGTTCTGGATTTGTTTCTTAACTTACTGGTATTTCTGTCTTGCAGAAAGCACCTCTACTGCTACATTATAGACCCAAAATGGACTTGCTGTAAGGGAACTTTATTGTCCTTCTGGACAGAGCTTTTTGCAGAGACTATCATCTGGCACCTTCTTAGTGCGTCACTAATCACATGACACAAACCAGCTGAATAATTTTGGAAGACTGGAGGGCTTTCATAGTGGGCTGCCCTGAATATTTCTTCTAGGGATGTGTTACCTAGACTTCTGGGCAGACAATATTTATACTTTTTTTGTACGGAAGAAAGAAGTTTCAACTCAGCAAGACACTACCAGCATTAAGTTTACAGATACTGAAAACACTTCACAGTTCCATGTAGCTCAGCCTGATTTGTCTCTTACAGTTACACACAGAAAAAAAGTTTGAGTGTTGTGGGGTGATATAAATATGTTGCTTTTGACACCAAGTTGCATTTAGTTACTTCTTGCATTCTATATCTTTAAAAACTATATTTTTGCAAAGTGTTATTGTCTTATATAGTATGCCTGATTGCATTGGCTTTATTCAAGTTATTCTGTAGAGCATTGAACATACCTGATAATACAGTGACTGGTGATAATTTATTATGCTGCATTGAAAACGTAAGAAGATCTGGGAAACCAGTAAATTTGTCATTTTTGCCCAGATATTGCTCTCCCTCACCTTGTGTTTTAATAAAGTTTTGATACTTCTGTATACGTGTTAATTTGGTAAGACTAATAGAAATAATTTCATTTGATTTTAATGTGCTGTGATCTATATTTTGCTGTGGTATAAATTGCACCACATAATGACAAATACTCACAAGTGCTAGATTTGTGAATTTCTTAAAAAATAAACATTTCTGATGTATTTGTGGCTTGCAGAAATCAGTTTTTAATTTAGAGAGAATTTGCTATCTCTAGCTATTGAAAAAGTGGCTCTTGGACAACTTTGAGAGTATTGTGGATTTTTCATTTCACTGATTAAAACTTATGGGCAGCTTTAAATTTTTTCAGCTGTTTTCTTATGAAACCATGGCATTTTCCTTGCTGCAATTCCTAACTTACATGGGATGGGGAGGAAGGGGGAGTCAAGACAAGATTATTTTAGCACCTTTTGGCCTTAACTAGTAATTTTCCTTGCATCAGCCCTAATGGATACAAGGTAATACACATTAATGTATGTATGGGTACATACATCTGTGTACACATATAACTATTTATGTTATAGAAAGAACCCTCTATGGCACTTAGCAGGGCTCACTGCACTTTTTGTAAGGCTTTTGGAAATAATTGGCTTTTAAAAAACTGTAGTTGAAAGTGATTTCTGCAAGCTATATCCACTGTGTATCGTCCATAGTACAATTGTAAGAACATTTGTCTGGCACAGGTGTGAAGTCACTGAAAACAGTGTATGCCCTATTATTGCCAGCTGGAAATAGTTAACCTGATTTTTGGAAGGAATTTTTTCCTGTCAGCTGAAAATGCTAGTCGCTATTCCTATTATTAAACCCTGTTATTTTTTGATAAATTGTCTTTGGATAAGTAGCTCTGCTTCCTCTTGCTGTGCTCTTTTGCTTCTTCTGCTAGAAAGTGTTACTTAGTAACCAGAAGCTGATACTGCAAGAGATTTATCTAAGCATTTTAAATATTCTTCCTCTTGAGTTTTCAAAGCCCTACATTCCTCAGCACATTTCCCTTAATGTCCCTCTTGTGGCTTCAGTTCTCCTTTTCCAGCTCAGCTGCTGGTTGTGCTTACCTTTGACAACAGGGCTCCTTATTTTTGATTACAGTCACAGGTGTGAGTAGCAAGGAAATGAAAAAGAAATTATGTGAGGAGAGAATGAAAGGGAGCCTCCTGAATTGTGGAGATGGAAAGGAGAGCCACACAATGGCCAGAACATGCTGCTGTCCTTGCGGCTGAAAGTCTTAAGATAGCTGCATTTGAATGTTTAGGTTATGCAGAACTCCACATCTGGTTCTTGTGTGGTGTTTGTGTGCATGTCTGTGATTCATGGAATCAAATTTGGCTCTGATTTTGTCTTGCTGTTTGTGTATTTTCAGCTTTTTTTTCTGTCTTTAGCATTACTTGATCTGGCAGAAAAGAGCAAACAAGATCATGTGTCTACCATATTTAAAACTTTCCATGAAAGCAGTCAATGCAGGTGGTGTGGATGTGTACACAAGCTGACATAATGGGCCTCTCTGGAGCTGTTTCTTACGTGATTGTTACTGTTCTAGTGTAAATAAGAGGCTGGCTTTGCCACTGAGGCCCTGAGAATGTGGACAGGACTGTAAGGGTCCCGGCTCTGTGCACCCATAGTATACACACAGTGGCTGTACCTGATGTAGACATTGAACTAAAGCTGCCAGACAGCATTCTGATTAACCACCTTAATCAGAATATATATATATATATATATATATATATATATATGTACACACACAAACAAAAATATATATACATATACACATATAAATGAGATCTGTCTACCTCAAGTGTGTGTACTGCAGGAAACTTTTGTATGACTAGATACTGACACAGTGCTGTTAAAGTACATTGGCATGTCATTTCTTCCTTATGTACTTGAGCAACTGAGAAATTAATTACGAATACACGAATTCAGAAGCCTTTCAAATCTATCTCTTGCTGTAACAACTTACAATACAAAACTCATAAGTTTATAACCATCCTTAGAATCACTTGAATTTGTTATGGTGCTATCAGTATATAGAAAACTCTGTTTATATGGATACATAAATTCAAGCCAGTATTAATACCTATAGCTGGGGTTTTTGCTTGTAATTGTGTGTAACTGCTTTTGCAATGTGTTTAATCTGATAAAACCACATCAGTTAAAAAAAAAAAAAAACCAAAAAAAAAAAAAAAAACCCACAAAAAACCACCAAAAAAAACAAAAACAAAAACAAAACAAAACAAAAAAAAAAAAACAAAAAAAAAACCACGAACGAAGAAAACCAAACAAAAAAACCCCAAACCAACAGGAAACTCCAAAATTACTCAGTTGTTTTTCTAAATCACATGTGATAATATCTTCACTACAAAAATTGCCCTCAGAAGTGGTGTGACTCTGTCTGTACCATATGTTAGTCTCACTAAAAGACTACAGTGTAGAGCAAGGTCTTCTTTGGGTCAGAGCCTTGTTGAATTTCTGTGACACTTAAGAGACAATTTATATCAAGATTATATTGGGTAAAGTAACCCTGATACTGTTGAAAGTTGGACTGAAATTTGGATTCGACCATACATATTTCTTAGTCCTGATGAGATCATGGTAGTTGATTTTGGCTTTTGTGAAGATGCCATTACTGTGAAGTATTTTTTACAATTTCTTACGCTGGTAAATAGTTGCAATAAGGAAGTATCTTGTTGCATTATCCTCAGCAGCAGTGAGACTGATGAATCACCTGGGCTTAGAGTCTCATTAAGTATACTTTCAGTAAAAATAAAGAATTCAGATAGAATATATAATACTGAATTTAAATAAGATTTGGGGGTTTAAATTTTAACTTTATAAAATTATTTATTCTATTTTAAGCCTTCTGTCTCATTTTACCATACAAGTATTTTTGGTTTTAGTGGTCCAGTTTTATTTACGGGCATATAAATTGAAATTGTAAGATGTTTCTACAAGCTTCTTCATTTTACCTTGAGTAGCTTTCATCTGTATGTTTTTATTTTGTATGGATAAAGAGCATTACTTATGCTTTTGTGCAATAGGTTTGAAACATGCATTTATTAGGCTTATGTTTAAATTGTAAATGTAGCATCTACTTACCATTACATTTAAAAGGAATGTAGATGGCTTTTCTCACTTGTTCAAATCGAGTTTTATTGGGGCTGTTATTTGGGGGTGGACGTGTGTGTTTTATGCTTTGTTCCATTTTTTATTTTAAGAGTGAAATGGGGGATTTAAAATATCTGTAAGTACAAGAACTATCTGTCAGCAATATTTTAAAATAAATGATCTTGCAAGAAACCTTAATGTGAATTGTGGAAGCAATCTACAAGACTTGCAGCCTATCTGAAAATGTTTTGTGCCATTGTTAGGTCTGGTATATTTGTGTACCATCACACCTGGGAATATTTTTTTCTATGGTTGTGCAATAGTATACACAACACTGTCACTCAGGAGATATGGGACCGTAAAAAATATCAGACTACAACTATGATGGTGCTATTTTTTCCAATAGGCTATGGGCCTTTGAAAGCTTATGTGACTCTTATTGTCTTTATAACAACACAGTTCTAGGGGATTTACAGATTTTTTTTTCTACTAGATGATAAATATAACTTGCTGTTTTACAGCATTCTGCATATTACGTTGAGATAACTATAATAGGAAAAAGCCAACCAGTCTGTACATCAGTGAGATGAATCTTAGGTACACATTTTGTACACAAGGCTTTACTGAACAGAAAAATCAAGTTTCTGCTTTTCCTCAGGTAATCACTTCAGTTTGGATGTTTCACTGAAAACGTTAATGCAACTTTAGTTAGTCTGCCTAAAGTTGATAACAGAAATTGTTCCTCACACGAGTCTCCCTACATAAGATACAATTAGATGTTACTTGGATCTTGAGATCCATTTTTCAAGAAGTTGCAGAGAGCAACAATAAAGAATATGGAACAATGCTTCAATCTCTGCTCTCATCAAAACTTGCAGTCAGGACAAAAATTACTTAGCAACTTGGGTCTTGTGGCAAATCAACAGGTAGTGTTTTACCTGTTTTATTTATATACAAATTAAAGGTATAATTCTACTATTTGTTCCATATTTTATCCTACTTAGAGTTTTTTTGGAAATCTATTGAAGCCACAATGACCTGTCCATGTCCTGGTGGTAGGATAGGAACTACATGTCCAATTCTATGAACATCTACATTGGTAACTTTACTAATAACCTGGATGGTTCCACAGAAACCAGTGGGATCATTCATTCAAACAGAGGTGTGGCTGAAGGAAGAACTGAGTTTTGAGTACTGATACTCCACTGTTTTTGTTATTTCTGTTTGAAATGGAAAGTATTGGTTTGATGGAATCTTTAATTCAAGTGACTTATCTGGACAAAAGGAAAGTTTGTTCTTTCCTTTTGCAAACAGGATCATTTTGCAGTTAAGGGACAATTAGCCAGTGCAACCACTAAGCCTTTTATCCTCATATGTGGCATAATAAAGATTCTGGAACTGTCAGAGTGTAAAACCATATTTTTGGCTTAGCTTCATTTAAAAGTTTACAATTTTTTATGCTTTGTGTTGCTGTGTAATTTCTGTACTACTGGTGGCTAGTTTTGTCTGAATAAGCCTTTTGGGGATTCATGCTTAATGTTTTGATTTTATGATAGTGAAGCTTGTATCAGTGTTTTGCCAATGAATACTATATGCTTGTTAATAAAAGCAGAGAAACTAACTGAAATGCTGTGAGGCTGAAAGTTTTTGTCCCATTCTCTCCCAGGAACATAAGGAGCTAGCAGTCATCGTAGCACTGAATAAATGCAGTGTGACTGAAACAGAGGTGGTGTGGCATTGCATTATCATAAAATCTGCCTTTTGCACAAAATAGAAGGATGGCTTAAAGTATTACTCCACTAGAAGTATATCTGTGACAAGTGTGTGTCAAGTAACTGCTAGATAGGAAATTAAATGGCTTCAGTCACCAAGAGGGAAAACAGCGCTATCCTGGTGTCTTTATGTACCTGGATAAAAAGGTACTTACCTGACCTATCTGCGCGCCTTTCAATCTTACCCTTACAACCTTACTGTGGTTGAGACGATAACAGTGCAAAACAGATGCTACAGTAGTTGAATTTCTTGCAGCATCTGCATTACATGCAGTAATGCAAATGTATAGCTTGTGAACTGCTCTGCATGCTGAGAGGACAGTACCTTTATTTATGCTCTTGGCTTGTTAGGAACTGCCGGCAACTCTGGGCTGCTTTGAAGTCAGTTTTATTCATACATGCATTTCTTATTTGCACTGACTTTACCCATGCAGAGTGGTCCTGAGGAAATTAGGCATTTGCCACTTACTAGCTTCATTTAAATATCAGTATGAGAGACTAACTGCAGAAAAATCCCTTTGCCTGTGTATAGTCACTTAAAATTGAATGAAAATTAGCACTAATTCAGCAAGTGTTACTTTTTGGAAGTCTTCCAAAAGACTTTATTATAGGTGGTTTTACTACCTACCTGAACTTTGTGCTACTGGTTGATTCCATCTATCTGTGAAGTAACCAGTGATGGGCCTGACTCCCTCCCTTTCCTGAACATGGTGTTATTCTAATAAATAAAGTGTAAAAACTTCTGTTTGAAATTCCCAAACATCACAAAAAGAAATTGTGCTAATAGTTGTGTTTGCTAGCCCTGAAAGCTTCAACCTGCCCTGCAGCGAGTAGAAACTAACTACATTTTTTATCCCAGAGGAAATACAAAAGTTTTTCCTGGTATTTCTTGCTTTATATGTAACTTAGAGTTTCTTATTTTGCTGATTGACTATTCTGCTACAAAAAAAAAAAATCATTACTTTGAGTGCACTACTTCTTTTTGTGCAATAACTGCTTCCTTGGGATTAGAGCAGTCAGAGAAAAAAATACATATCAGTTGAATTTGTGCATTTAAGATAGATAAATTCAGCTGTTTAAACCCAGGTGTAGATATAGTCACTCAGTATTCAACTGGCCACAACTCAAGTTAGGCTTAATCCAGTGCTGCATATGAATAGAGGTAAACTGCAGTGCAAATCCCTAGTACCTCCATAACAAGTCCCTGTGCATCTTTAATTTCCAACACCATCCTCATTTAGCTTTTTATATTCTTGGTTGTTTTAGGCTTCCTTTTCATTACTTTTATTTTGAAAAAGTCAAGCAATGATCTAGCATTAGTGGAGAAAAAGGTTTGCAAGAGTAGTCTGAGAGATTTGGCTACTAAAAGGAAGATGTGATCCACATCTGTATAAATATGTCTAGTCTTTCACATGGCAGTGCGCTTGCACTTGTCACTGTGTAGCGGTGTTCTACTGAAGGGCTTGGATTGGACATGTCTGTGCTTTGTGTGTTTTATGTAATGATTGCATGTCAATGTGTCCATGGAAATGAGAACAGAACAAAAATAAAAGCCATTGGCTTCAGTCTGAATCAATTGGGTGATTTCCATGAAAAGATGTTGCCGGTAAAGCCTTGTTTGTTGTTTCCTGCCCCAGTTTGTAGTTTGCAATTGTTTCTTCACACATTTGAAGAAAGTAAAACTTCATTCTCATTAAATTCTTAAAGGCTATTTGTTTATTTGTTTTCTCCTTTGATGCAAAGTTCACTGTCCCTTGCCTGAATCCTTGTTCCAAGAGAACACAAAAGCTTTGATTGTGGGTGCTCCAAGGCTGCACCATATGACAGTTTCCACTGCTGCTGGGAGCAGTACTGACTGCTGATGCAGCAAATAATGTCTGTGCTTCTGGTTTTTTCTACTGGTTCTCATCAGAGCTCAGAACAGAAGTTCTGCTTTGGTGTACTTTGTAACACAATGTACTGTCCAAATGCTTCTGTTTTCCCATTTAAGCAATGCCTTTGTAAATAGCTGCAATGGATTGTATTAGCATTACTTGGATTATTGTTTAAATGCATTTTACTCTTTTGCAGAAGTGCCTGGAAAGAGACTAGTACACTAATGAATCTTGATGTCAGCTAGAATGTGTCCCTTGGGCTGCTCTCACACCTCTGGAAAAGATTCCTTTCTCTGCTTTGTGTCAGTGTTGTGGACTGCAGCTGCACATCTGAGACTTGATGATTTCAACTGAAATGCTCATCTTTGAGGGTCTCTCTAGATTTTATTGAGCCATTGCAGTGGGCATTGCTTAAAAATGGTCAATGCTGATTTGAAGCACAGATGATGAGTTGTTTCTGGATCCTCTGCCAATGGCACCTAAACAGATCCTCTGTGTTGTGACTCAAGAGAAAACAGGCTTCTCATTCTGATGACTGTCTTCTCTTTCCCTAGAAAACAGGCAGTCCCAAGTCTATGTATTCTGATATGACAGGGACTGCTTCACCATTTCTCTCTTCAAGAGCTTTTTTGAGATTAGAGTGTCCTTTACAGACAAGGTTGACTACTCAGGCTCACAAGGTCTCACAAGTAACTTTGCTAGTGTTAACCAGAATGGCTGGAGGCTAAGCAGGTGCAAAGAGTTGCTCACAGGGCTGTGATGGGCACCTGGGGGACCTCACATTGCCTCAAGAAAGTTCTCAGATCTGAGGTAGTAGGTGGATCCCACCTTCAGCTTTTTTCATAGCTGATTGGCATCTTGGTACTGTTTGTCTGATCTCTGAGGGTCCTTCTTAAGAAAGTATGCTTTCAACTTGCCTTGGGCCTGATCCTCTTGCTTCATTGGCTTTGGTGGGTTGACTGCCTTTGTTGCTGCAGTGTGGGAGCTGTTCCTGCTGGATATGAGAAGGCCTCATCTGTCCCTCATCAGATACTCTGATCTGTGTGGCCCATTTGATGTTGCACATCATGTTGTAGTTGGTGCAGGTGACAGTTCAGCTTCCTGCTTCATGCTAGGAGCAGGAGCCAGTTCTGTTGGTGGTGTTATAATCCGCCCCCATCATGGAGGAACAAAGAAAACTCTCTGTGAATAAAGCAGGATGAACTCAAAGGTTCAGTTATTCCCAGAAACAAGAATAAAACCAAAACAAGGTTAGACACTGATACAAAAAATATTGATATATTTTATTTAACAGTAAAAGAGCTAAAGAGAAAGAAAAGTAGAGAAAAGTTAGAAAAAGCTAAGGTTACTTTAAAAAATATAGCCCACCACCACACTGTTGCTACCTTTTTTTGCCACTGATACCAGGTTGGGACGAAGCAGTTTGTGCAGTTTTTTTCTTATTTTCTGCCATTTGAAGTGTCATATCTACCTCCCCCAATCTTGGGAGCAGCTTAGCTGGAAAGCAGCCATCCTTCCCCTGAAATGCAGGCACAGTGCCCCATCCCTGCAGTCAAGCTCTCACCTCAGAAGGCAGAAGCAAGGAGATGGGCGGTTTCCACAGCACACTTGTGACTTGGATCCAAGGAAGAAGGATCGGAGAGTTCTCCTTCAGCTGACAGCATCATTTCCCAGAGGCCTTGGAATGTCACACAGCAGGCAGTGGTGGGTGAGGGAAGGCAAAGGTCAGAGATTCTGCCCTTCTCTTTCTTCTCCACACTTTTGCACAGGTTTTGCCTTCCTTTTAGTGGATCTCAGGCTGGGCTGTTCACAGTCCATCCTGCACATAGTTTTCAGGTGTTCAGAAGAGATTTTGGTAAGCAGACATAATGATGAAGCACTTTTTGTAGACTTTCTCTTAATATCAGGTTCTGCAGACACAGGTACTCATGATCTTAAAAATTTTCTGCTGTTTTCTGGATTTTGTGCTGGAATTGGAGAGGAGGCTGATTTTATTACTAATCAATCATTATCCATAATTCATGGAAGAGGTAAGAACTGTGTGTAGACTAACACACTAAGTGCCTGGAACATACAAAATGTAGCTATTGTGGCTGTGCATCTGAAAGGACAGCCACTGTTACATAATTGATGATAGACTTAATTTAAGTCAGAAAAAAAGAATTCTGCAGGAGATTCTAAAGGTCATCAGGAAGGATGAGCTGACTGAAACAGTGAAGTCTTTGCTTAGACAATGGAAAAAAATACAGGCTTCACAGGAGTTACTTGAGATGTCTGAGAAGTCTATACACTTCTGGGTGCAAAGTAATTGGGAAAAGACACAATGGAAAAGAGAGATGAGTTGGGAAATGCCTGTTTCAGTACATGAGGTTGCTTTGGATTTTGTGTCATGTATCACTTAATGTCTTGTTGTATGCTGGAAGTGCTGGGCCGGTGTCCCTGCACACTTCCTGGTGACCCTGCAGCCCCAGTGCAGAAGCTGGGCTAGAAGGCCGTTACTGAGTCCTGTGGCAGTGAGAGAGTTTCTAATCAGGTCCTTGGTTAGAAAGGAGGCTCCGAGATGGCCAGTCACAGCTAGGGGGGAAGAAACTGTGTCCTGTGGTTTTCCAGGGTCATTTGACCACCTCTGAGGTGGTCAAATAGCCAGTGGGAGAGTTAAGCACTGGAAGTAGCAAGAGGGTATCCAAAGACAAGTGTGTAGCTTTATGGACAATTACCAGCCAGCCAGCCTCTGGGAAAGGAAGGCATATCTTTGAGATAGTGACATCTAGGGTGCAGCTAGGGTGCTGTCATTAACTGGAAGTCCATGGTCCACCTATCATCCATCTGCCCTCTCACAGATCAGTTTTATCAGAGATGCATGCAGCTGTTTTAACCTTAGTACAGATCTGGAGCCAATGTCAGCTAGATCCCACCCATCTGCTGGCAGGTACTCATAGGAGCTTTAGGAGCACATGTCTGCAAAATTTCAACAT